CGCCCAGTGTGACAATAGCTCCGTCCAGTGTGACAGAAGCTCCATGGACTTTGACAGTAGCTCCGTGCACCGTGACAGTAGCTCCGTCCATTGTGACAGTAGCTCCGTCCAGTGTGACAGTAGCTCCGTCCAGTGTGACAGTAGCTCCGTCCAGTGTGACAGAAGCTCCATGCACTGTGACAGTAGCTCCGTGCACCGTGACAGTTGCTCCGTCCAGTGTGACAGTAGCTCCGTCCAGTGTGACAGAAGCTCCATGCAGTAGCCCGGTCCACCATGGTCTAGGCTCTGTGCACCGTGACAGTAGTTCCGTGCAGTGTGACAGTAACTCAATGTAGTATGACAGTAGCTCCGTGCACAGTGATGGTAGTCCTGTGCAGTGTGACAGTAGCTCCATGCACTGTGACAGTAGCTCCGTGCAGTGTGACAGTTGCTCCGTCCAGTGTGACAGTAGCTCCGTCCAGTGTGACAGTAGCTCCGTTCAGTGTGACAGTAGCTCTTTGCACTGTGACAGTAGCTCCGTGCACCGTGACAGTCGCTTCGTGCAGTGTGACAGTAGCTCCATACACCGTGACAGTAGCTTCGTGCAGTGTGACAGTAGCTCCGTGCACCGTGACAGTAGCTCTGTCCACCATGGTCTAGGCTCTGTCGACCGTGACAGTAGCTCCGTGCACCGTGACAGTAGCTCCGTGCACAGTGTCAGTAGCTCCGTACACCGTGACAGTAGCCCGGTCCACCATGGTCTAGGCTCTGTGCACCGTGACAGTAGTTCCGTGCAGTGTGACAGTAACTCAATGTAGTGTGACAGTAGCTCCGTGCACAGTGATGGTAGTCCTGTGAAGTGTGACAGTAGCTCCGTGCACCGTGACAGTAGCCCGGTCCACCATGGTCTAGGCTCTGTGCACCGTGACAGTAGTTCCGTGCAGTGTGACAGTAACTCAATGTAGTGTGACAGTAGCTCCGTGCACAGTGATGGTAGTCCTGTGCAGTGTGACAGTAGCTCCATGCACTGTGGCAGTAGCTCCGTGCAGTGTGACAGTAACTCAATGTAGTGTGACAGTAGCTCCGTGTACAGTGATGGTAGTCCTGTGCAGTGTGACAGTAGCTTCGTGCACCGTGACAGTAGCTCCGTGCAGTGTGACATTAGCTCCGTCCAGTGTGACAGTAGCTCCGTGCAACGAGACAGTAGCTGCGTGCACAGTGACAGTAGCTTCGTGCAGTGTGACAGTAGCTCCGTGCAGTGTGACATTAGCTCCGTGCAGTGTGACAGTCGCTCTGTGTACCGTGACAGTAGCAGCGTTCACCGTGTCAGTTGCTCCGTACACCGTGTCAGTTGCTCCGTCCAGTGTGACAGTAGCTTCGTGCAGTGTGACAGTCGCTCTGTGTACCGTGACAGTAGCTCCGTACACCGTGTCAGTTGCTCCGTCCAGTGTGACAGTAGCTTCGTACACCGTGACAGTAGCAGCGTTCACCGTGTCAGTTGCTCCGTACACCGTGTCAGTTGCTCCGTCCAGTGTGACAGTAGCTTCGTGCAGTGTGACAGTAGCTCTGTGTACCGTGACAGTAGCAGCGTTCACCGTGTCAGTTGCTCCTTCCAGTGTGACAGTAACTCTGTGCACTGTGATAGCAGCCCCGTGCAGTGTGACAGAACTCCGTACACCGTGTCAGTAACTCCGTGCACCGTGACAGTAGCTTCGTGCACCGTGATAGCAGCCCCGTGCAGTGTGACAGAACTCCGTGCAGTGTGACAGAAGCTCCATGCACTGTGACAGTAGCTCCGTGCACCGTGACAGTAGCTCCGACCAGTGTGACTGTAACTCCGCCCAGTGTGACAATAGCTCCGTCCAGTGTGACAGAAGCTCCATGGACTTTGACAGTAGCTCCGTGCACCGTGACAGTAGCTCCGTCCATTGTGACAGTAGCTCCGTCCAGTGTGACAGTAGCTCCGTCCAGTGTGACAGTAGCTCCGTCCAGTGTGACAGAAGCTCCATGCACTGTGACAGTAGCTCCGTGCACCGTGACAGTTGCTCCGTCCAGTGTGACAGTAGCTCCGTCCAGTGTGACAGAAGCTCCATGCAGTAGCCCGGTCCACCATGGTCTAGGCTCTGTGCACCGTGACAGTAGTTCCGTGCAGTGTGACAGTAACTCAATGTAGTATGACAGTAGCTCCGTGCACAGTGATGGTAGTCCTGTGCAGTGTGACAGTAGCTCCATGCACTGTGACAGTAGCTCCGTGCAGTGTGACAGTTGCTCCGTCCAGTGTGACAGTAGCTCCGTCCAGTGTGACAGTAGCTCCGTTCAGTGTGACAGTAGCTCTTTGCACTGTGACAGTAGCTCCGTGCACCGTGACAGTCGCTTCGTGCACTGTGACAGTAGCTCCATACACCGTGACAGTAGCTTCGTGCAGTGTGACAGTAGCTCCGTGCACCGTGACAGTAGCTCTGTCCACCATGGTCTAGGCTCTGTCGACCGTGACAGTAGCTCCGTGCACCGTGACAGTAGCTCCGTGCACAGTGTCAGTAGCTCCGTACACCGTGACAGTAGCCCGGTCCACCATGGTCTAGGCTCTGTGCACCGTGACAGTAGTTCCGTGCAGTGTGACAGTAACTCATTGTAGTGTGACAGTAGCTCCGTGCACAGTGATGGTAGTCCTGTGCAGTGTGACAGTTGCTCCGTGCACCGTGACAGTAGCCCGGTCCACCATGGTCTAGGCTCTGTGCACCGTGACAGTAGTTCCGTGCAGTGTGACAGTAACTCAATGTAGTGTGACAGTAGCTCCGTGCACAGTGATGGTAGTCCTGTGCAGTGTGACAGTAGCTCCATGCACTGTGGCAGTAGCTCCGTGCAGTGTGACAGTAACTCAATGTAGTGTGACAGTAGCTCCGTGCACAGTGATGGTAGTCCTGTGCAGTGTGACAGTAGCTTCGTGCACCGTGACAGTAGCTCCGTGTAGTGTGACATTAGCTCCGTCCAGTGTGACAGTAGCTCCGTGCAACGAGACAGTAGCTGCGTGCACAGTGACAGTAGCTTCGTGCAGTGTGACAGTAGCTCCGTGCAGTGTGACATTAGCTCCGTCCAGTGTGACAGAAGCTACGTACACCGTGACAGTAGCTGCGTGCACCGTGACAGTAGCTTCGTGCAGTGTGACAATTGCTCCGTCCAGTGTGACAGTAGCTCCGTGCACCGTGACAGTAGCTGCGTGCACCATGACAGTAGCTGCATGCACCGTGACAGTAGCTTCGTGCAGTGTGACAGTTGCTCCGTGCACCGTGACAGTAGCTTCGTGCAGTGTGACAGTAGCTCCGTACACCTTAACAGTAGCTCCGTGAAACGTGACAGTAGCTTCGTGCAGTGTGACAGTAGCTCCGTGCACCGTGACAGTAGCTGCGTGCACCGTGACAGTAGCTCCGTGCAGTGTGACATTAGCTCCGTGCAGTGTGACAGTAGCTCCGTGCACCGTGACAGTAGCTCCGTCAACCATGGTCTAGACTCTGTCGATCGTGACAGTAGCTCCGTACACCGTGAAAGTAGCTTCGTGTTATGTGACAGTAGCTCCGTGCACAGCGTCAGTAGCTCGGTCCACCATGGTCTAGCCTCTATGCACCGTGACAGTAGTTCCGTGCAATGTGACAGTAACTCAGTGTAGTGTGACAGTAGCTCCGTGCACAGTAATTGTAGTCCTGTGCAGTGTGACAGTAGCTCCGTGCACTGTGCCAGTAGCTCCGTCCAGTGTGACAGTAACTCAGTGTAGTGTGTCAGTAGCTCCGTGCACAGTGATGGTAGTCCCACGCAGTGTGACAGTAGCTCTGTGCACCGTGACAGTAGTTCCGTGCAATGTGACAGTAGCTCCGTGCACAGTGTCAGTAACTCCGTGCACCGTGACAGTAGCTCGGTCCACCATGGTCTAGGCTCTATACACCGTGACAGTAGTTCCGTGCAGTGTGACAGAAACTCAGTGTAGTGTGACAGTAGCTCCGTGCACAGTGATGGTAGTCCTGTGCAGTGTGACAGTAGCTCTGTGCACCGTGACAGTAGTTCCGTGCAGTGTGACAGTAACTCAATGAAGTGTGACAGTAGCTCCGTGTACAGTGATGGTAGTCCCGCGCAGTGTGACAGTAGCTCTGTGCACCGTGACAGTAGTTCCGTGCAATGTGACAGTAGCTCCGTGCAAAGTGTCAGTAACTCCGTGCACCGTGACAGTAGCTCGGTCCACCATGGTCTAGGCTCTATACACCGTGACAGTAGTTCCGCGCAGTATGACAGTAGCTCCATGCACTGTGCCAGTAGCTCCGTCCAGTGTGACAGTCACTCAATGTAGTGTGTCAGAAGCTCCGCGCACAGTGATGGTAGTCCCGTGCAGTGTGACAGTAGCTCTGTGCACCGTGACAGTAGTTCCGTGCAGTGTGACAGTAACTCAATGAAGTGTGACAGTAGCTCCGTGTACAGTGATGGTAGTCCCGCGCAGTGTGACAGTAGCTCTGTGCACCGTGACAGTAGTTCCGTGCAATGTGACAGTAGCTCGTGCACAGTGTCAGTAACTCCGTGCACCGTGACAGTAGCTCGGTCCACCATGGTCTAGGCTCTATGCACCATGACAGTAGTTCCGTGCAGTGTGACAGTAACTCAGTGTAGTGTGACAGTAGCTCCGTGCACTGTGATGGTAGTCCCGTGCAGTGTAACAGTAGCTCCGTGCACTGTGCCAGTAGCTCCCCCCAGTGTGACAGTAACTCTGTGTAGTGTAACAGTAGCTCCGTGCACAGTGACAGTAGCTGCGTGCACAGTGATGGTAGTCCCGCGCAGTGTGACAGTAGCTCTGGGCACCGTGACAGTAGTTCCGTGCAGTGTGACATTACCTACCTCCACCGTGGTCTAGGCTCCGTGCACCCTGACATGGGCTCTGGGCACCGTGACGGAATGCATGTACCGTGTTTTGTTGTTTTCTCCAACGCAAGCACCGCATTTTGTTGTCTACAATGTACGTAGCTTGTTTATGTTCTTTTCAGATAGTGCAAGTGATATTCGCAATCGTGTTGACCAAAGACATAGGAGACAAGAAGATCTCCCCCATATAGACCCCCTTATACGCAAGAGGGGGCACTACACGGAAAGGCACGAATTGGCCACCGATGCCAACAATTATGTGTGATAAAACGCTATTTGCCAAGACCCCCTTGGAATGAACGGATATTCAACGGCTAACTGTAAATACAACAAAGTTATAATTTTCTAAAGAGAGCATGGTATTATTATGATTCGTCCACATGTGTCACTCAGGGTTTATTTTGTGAACATTTACATATCCACTGGTTGGCATGTTTAATTTCGAGTGGATCCTAACAGGTTTATATTGAAATCCAGTAACTTTGCGTTGTGATGTCAGCTAAGACACCTGTTATTTAGGACGACCGTAATCAAGGACAAGACTATTTATGATACCCCTTAATTCGGACGCCAATTATTCAAATTAATCGTATCTTAGAGTCATGTTATTACAAATGAACTTAAAGAAAAAATTAACACACTTTTCCCATACAATCTCATTTCGTCTGTTCATATAATTAACAGATTTCAACACCATAAACTGTAAAATTAAGAGGTTAATAAGAACAGTAAATGCGCATAAATGTACGTGTTTTAATTGAAATAAAATCAAACCAAATTTCAAGGACATTGGTGTGGCTAGCAGATTTGCGAACGCAATATTTAACAAATGTTATATTTTGGATAACATTTTGTCAGTAAAGTACAAAGTACTTCTTTGGGTTGGCACCTGATCGCCAGCACACAAAGTTACTGATCTAACCCACTCGGCCACCGAGGCTTCCACAAAATAGAAGTCGGACAAATGGTAGTCTAGAACATTTACTTTGTGTACCCCTCTGACAAGTGTTAACATCTAACCCACTCAGCCACCGAGGCTTCCACAAAATAGAAGTCGGACAAATGGTAGTCTAGAACATTTACTTTGTGTACCCCTCTGACAAGTGTTAAATCTCACGGCTCCCAGGGCCTAGAAGTCGGACAACTTGTAGTCTAGAACATTTACTTTGTGTACCCCTCTGACAAGTGTTAAATCTCACGGCTCCCAGGGCCTAGAAGTCGGACAACTTGTAGTCTAAAACATTTACTTTGTGTACCCCTCTGACAAGTGTTAAATCTCACGGCTCCCAGGGCCTGGAAGTCGGACAACTTGTAGTCTAGAACATTTACTTTGTGTACCCCTCTGACAAGTGTTAATTGGCACGGCTCCCAGGGCCTAGAAGTCGGACAACTTGTAGTCTAGAACATTTACTTTGTGTACCCCTCTGACAAGTGTTAAATCTCACGGCTCCCAGGGCCGAAGCATCTGTTACATTTGACCACTTTCTGAAAAGCAGTGTGTATTCAGGACACACTATCGTTGTTAACTAGCAGTCTTTACACAACCTCGCCATGTTTGTGTGTTTCGCAAATAAAAGAAATAAGAGTTTATATGCTGTTTGATCATCACTAGTTTGTTTGTTTGTTTGTTTCATGTATTCCCATCCCAAGTACCAAGTTGTCCGCCTCCCCATTGGTCTCGGTGACTAAGGCTGGCACCTCCGAATCTGTTGACTGATGTAACACACATGTAAACATACACTTACTAACACACATGTAAACATACACTTACGAACACACGTGTAAACATACACTAACACACATGTAAATATACACCTCTAAACACACTTACAAACACACGTGCAAAAGCGAAAAATGCACTTTGGAGCAAACGTAAACACATACTTACGAGTACAAACTCACGCGCAAACTGACATCACACAGTTATACACGTGCAAGGCTGTGAACACACGTGTAAACATGTACAAACTGACTCACGAAAACAAACGAACAAACTTAACGCTCTCACAAACGTACATTCAAACACAGAGCCATAGAAAGATGCACATACACGTGGTCCATTTATATCTATACTGAGGGGGAAAAGAAACTATACATCTCAGTTGATGTTATCATGTGTTTGATTTTCATTTGAAAATATCGTCAGTTGGCGATATTATTTCCAAAACATGGACGGTACATTCGCTAAGTCAGCACTCAAACAAAACCTCTATGTTGTTATATTTTGTAAAACATAATTTGATTTAAAACTTTTAAACATAATAAAAGAAAGTCGCCTAACACACACCTGTTGATGGGCATGTTTGACGTGTTATCTTTAAAAATCAATAAATATGCTGACAAAGTAGACACAATTTATGGATAAAAACTTCTTTAATACTGTAATGTTATCAAATTCTGAGTAATGCCTATCAAAAAAGTAAATTTACCCTTTTCGGCACAAATTTACAAAATGTCAAACATGGTAGGGGTCGCGTGGGATCAAATTCATTGTTTACCCATCTTCGTTGAACCAATATATGTTTACAAAAAAAAAATCCAACCACAGATTTTTACTGTCGCAGGAATGAGTGATGGTTAAATGGAGACAGCCAACGTGAACAACAGTTCTTTCAATGTTCAGTTACACGAAAGAACCAACTCGGTATACTTTCTTTTTCCCCTCAGTGTTTGGACAACCATTGGACAACCATGACAAATGTCCAAGGAATTCATTTTATTTACCAGGTATTGAGTCACCAATATATTCAGTGGTTGACAATAATCCCGCAAAATATGCAAAAAACAATTTATCATCAATCCGAACAAATATTTTTTAACAAAAATAAAACATAACATCATGAAACATTTGACAAACGTCTTGAGCATGTATGTTCGAGGTGATTGGTTGTATGCGGTGTTGGGAGGGTGTGGGTTGGGGAAGGGAAGGGGGGTGAAAGGGGTGTGGGTGGGTTAGGCTTTGGGTGTGGATGGGGAGGGGGTGGTCCGAACACAAAAGGAACAGCACACGCCGGTATACCAGGTGATATTTTATGAGTGCTTCATGTAGTGCTGAGTCTGGATTGGCTGGTTGGTTGGTTTGTTGTTTTACGCCGCACTCAGCAATATTCCAGCTCTACGACGGCGGTCTGTAAATAATCGAATCTTGACCAGACAATCCACTGATTAATGTCATGAGCATCGATCCACGCAATTGGGATCGATGACATGCATCAACCAAGTCAGCGAGCCTGACCACCCGATCCCGTTAGTCGACTTTTACGACAAGCATAGTCACCTTTTACGGCACGCATGGGTTGCTGAAGACCTATTCTACCCCGGAATCTTCACGGGTCCCGAGTCTGGAACCTACACTGGAACCCACAGCGTATCGCATTGAACAGCTTCTGTAAAGTAGCATGTCGCGCGGGGCTAAATAGTGGGTACACTGAATCTTCATTCCAAACCTTCCACCAGCGGTCCAAATGTTAACCAAAATATACAGCAGCAGCAGCAGCATCCTCAGTACACCCTGCACCTCACACCGTGTCAACACTACGTGTGCAGAAATCATAAACACACGTGTATCTGAACTGAAATATGAAAACGCAGGCTTAAAACCGATTTGTGAATATGACTGTGTTGAATCATGTCTTCGTGACAGTGTATGTACACTTCTGTAAGTCCTTGTTAATTCTCCGTCTCTCAAAGATAAACTCTCCACAAGTATCAACACAATTCTTGAGTGGACACGCTTCATCTCAAGTAACTACAGGCATGTCATTGAAGCTTCAGTCATAGTAGTCTGTGAAAACAAAAATATGTTGCACCACTTCCTCAGGTCATCGAGGCTTGCTTGACGTTAATGTGAGAACAAGTAATAATTCCCCTTTCCACATGTCACAGAGAAGTGTTTCAAAAAATAACATTCGACCCATTCTGCACATGTCCGTGTTTCACTTGCCACCTAGACGTGATTCACTTGTGTGGAAATGAGGTATATGATTCACCTGTCACGCAGACGTGCTCCACGTGTGTTGAAATGAGTTAAATATTCATGTTCACCTGTCACGCAGACGTGATCCACGTGTGTGGAAATGAGGTATATGATTCACCTGTCACGCAGACGTGCTCCACGTGTGTGGAAATGAGTTAAATATTCATGTTCACCTGTCACGCAGACGTGATCCACGTGTGTGGAAATGAGGTATATGATTCACCTGTCACGCAGACGTGCTCCACGTGTGTGGAAATGAGTTAAATATTCATGTTCACCTGTCACGCAGACGTGATCCACGTGTGTGGAAATGAGGTATATGATTCACCTGTCACGCAGACGTGCTCCACGTGTGTGGAAATGAGTTAAATATTCATATTCACCCGTCACGCAGACGTGATCCACGTGTGTGGAAATGTGTTATGTATTCCATGTTTCACCTGCCATGCAGACCTGATCCACGTGTGTTGAAATGAGTTATATATCCTACGTTTCACCTGTCACCCAGACGTGATCCACTGGTGTAGAAATGAGTTATACATCACACGTTTCACCTGTCACCCAGACGTGATCCACGTGTGTTGAAATGAGTTATATATCCTACGTTTCACCTGTCACCCAGACGTGATCCACTGGTGTAGAAATGAGTTATACATCACACGTTTCACCTGTCACCCAGACGTGATCCACGTGTGTGGAAATGAGTTATATATCCCACGTTTCACCTGCCACCCAGATTTGATTCAAGGGTGTGGAAATGAGTTATGTTCCAGGTTTCACATGTCAACTAGGCGAATTATAACTTATTCCAGATATAAGCTCTGACTATCCTCAAGGTGGGAAACATTAACGGTGGTCGGACGTCTTGGAGAGCAGGACTGTTGTCTACTTCCATGGCGAATACATCCAAGGCGTACTTCAGCGTCAGCAGGATGTCCAACAGAAACAACACTATAAGAATCCCAACAATAACTGTCAGCAGTCGGAGTAGACACAGAGTTATCTCCCTTCTACATTTGTCCAGGATGCGGAGATTCGTTTTGTCCACCACCAGTAGAGTACTGTCCGGTACCTGGAACACGGAGAAGATACCCCATTTAATCACTAGCATCTAAATAATGTGTTTTTCAAAATTGCATTGTATGATGTAAGCAACTTATTTTATTAACAAATGTTATGTCAGGGATAACACTTTCTTAGTACAGATTCTTGTACAGTTTTGGGGTAGGTGGAGTAGTCTGGTGGTTAAAGCGTTCGCTCGTCACGCCGAAGACCCGGGTTCGATTCCCCACATGGATACAATGTGTGAAGCCCATTTCTGGTGTTCCCCGCAGTGATATTGCTGGAATATTGCTAAAAGAGGCGTAAAACCTCACTCACTCACTCACTCACTCACTCACTCACTCACTCACTCACTCGTACTGTTTTGGCTTGAATCCCATACTGCCAGAGTGAGGCACATTATCGCCAGCTAACAGAAACTCAGCGATCTAACCCACTCGGCTACCGAGGCTTCCACAAAAAGGAAAATCCGACAACTGGTAGTCTAGATCACATACTTTGTGTACCCCTCTGACAGGTGTAAATTGGCAGATGGGACTCAACCAATAAAAGTACGAGAACTTCTACTTTACTAAGAAAGCGTTATCCCATATATAACCTTTGCTACATTTGACCACTTTCTGAATGACAATGTGTGTTCTTGTTTTATTAAGAAATGACAAAAAAATAAATTTAAGAAACAGGAAATTAACGTTGAAAATGTTGACGTAACTTCAATAGTAAAGCCAATACTACACCTCAATGAGTCCCGAAGTTTTGGAGCGGTATAGCAGTATGTCAAATTGACTGTGTCTTATGCAATGAGCTCAATTTCTGGCAACCAATACATATCAAAAGAGGCGACAAACGGGATCGGGTGGTCAGACTCGCTGCTAACTAAGTTAATGCATTTCATATATCAATCACTGGATTGTCTGACTGACGTTCTATAGCAGGACTGTTGTTGAGAGCATCGTTAAAAAAAAACAACACGTTTTTGTACCTACGATGGTTATGTCGTTTACCTTAGGGTAAAATATGACTATTGTCAGTTAAAAACAACTCGAACAAAGTTCTTTTTATTTGGGAGGAAAACTTGCCTTTAGAACATTGCTGCAATATTGCAAACGACGGCGTAAAACTTTACTCACTTAATTTGGAAATTAGGAAATAAACCAACAACAAAGCAAGCTCACTCAAAAGCTCACCTTACACACCTGGCATTGAAACTACAGCAGCAGAGTAGATCAGTTTATTCAAGATGCAATATAACAATGCCAGAAGCATTGACTCTGAACAGCTGTAAAGTTAATAAGGTAGATACATTTTGGATAAATATATTGTTATTGCCAGCTTGGTATATATGACAGCGAGACTGTTGTGTGTATTGGACATTCGAGAAGTAATATGGTGACGGCAGCTTTGTGCTGACTACATACGTATCTGAAACCCCCAACGTAACACAATAGGTACCGGGTACATATGAAACAATAGGTACCGGGTATATATGACACAATAGGTACCGGGTATGTATCACACAATAGGTACCGGGTATATAGGACACAATGGGTACCGGGTATATATGCCACAA